TTGAATTGATGCTCCCACAAGGTACTAAGTGGTCCCAGATTTTTTTAATACTTCACACACTGTTAAGACCCATTCTATACTGCCTAGGCCTATCATGCCTCTCCTGCCAAATTTGAAGGCAGGAAAAATAAAACATTGATCTACATTTGGAGTGCTAGCAGTACAGTTAAAGGGTTAATGCCTAGAAAAGTGTGCAACAATACTGTTGAATTTATAGGAATAAGATGCTTTGATAAGTAGGGTTAGTTTTATTTTGCAGGTCTAGAATCTTTTGACTATGCTGTCATTGTTTTGCAGTCCCAAGTAATATTTCATAGGATAATTTTTAACTGATCTTATGAGGCCAAGAGGTTATTGTTAGGATAGTGCAAATCAAACATGTAGGCCATAAAGGTGTTGCTAAGGTAGTATTAAAAAAATCTCCATTCATGACCTTTTTTGTTCCATACTACATGCTTTTGCTGGTCCTGGATTTTTTTTTTTTTTTTATGAGTACTCTAGTTAAATTTTCTGGACCAGTAGAGTTTTGCTCAGAGAATACTAGTTTAATGTGCATTCTCTTAGTTTTTTTGGGCTCAGACAGTTGTATCCATAGGCACAGGAGAAATTTGTCCCATTTGATCCTGTTAATTATACTGTTCAAGAAACTTTTTGCCTGGGTAGTGCTAATGTAATTTGTAGACCCAGGAAGTTCTTGCAACTCTTGTATTTCCTTATTGTAGAAACATTTCACTTGTGCAGCAGACATCTTCAAATACAGGCCCATGTAATATTGGGCACAGTAGTAGTAGTAGTAATTGTGAAGTGATAGTTCCTTAGTAACTTTTGTTCAACTTTACTTTTAACTCTTTGATCCCTCAAGATCATAAAATTTTCATAAAGGTAATGAAACCAAAAGTACGAAATTTGATGGAAAACTTGCAGAATTATGCTCTTGCAAAGTTAGAGGTCTCAGCTATATTTATGCATTGGCAATTTTGCCCACATTGAGCCCTATTTTTGGTCAATTTCATTTTTCCAGTTGACCAAACTCGTAGATATTTCACTAGTATTCCTTCCATCAGTTGAGTATAAGAAACCGTCCATTTACCTAATTGAAATATCCAATAAAGTTATCAGAGATCAGTAATTTGGTCAGTTTTGCACAAAATTCAAAATTTGCCAATTTCAAAATAGGGTCCAGAATAAACAATGTAGACATTCCAGGCACTAAAATATTTCCTATGTTTGTTAGTCATATTCTCAGGCTTACTTTCTATTTTGAATTTTTATTCACAAAAAATGAAAGTTTTACTGTTATGCAGACTACTGCATTATTGTAGAAATTGTATAAATATTGTCATTGCATTTATGGACGTGTATTAGACTGACTAGTTGCACGTGTATTGGATGAGTGACATAATTTGTGTACTCTGGAATATCGGCAAAAATAGAACATTTCCACTACTTTGAGCTCAATTTCAAGCTACATTCAGTCCTGAAACCAATTAAAATCATCTCTGTTTCTGTAATATATCTTCAATTCTATCATACCAAGAATACAACAATAAAAACCATATGAAAATACACCATAGAGTCGCTGTTTTAAGCCAAAAATGCAGTTGCAGTTTTTTCCCCCATTATACACTGCTTGCTGCAGGAATTTTTTTTTTTTTATGGTGCACACTTACCGCATAGACCCATTCTCTCATATCTAGGCCCAGATGTACTGCTCACAGCCTATCTGAGCGTGCTGAGCTCATGGCATAGAACTACTGGACTGATCCAGGCTTTAAAGCCATAGTACTACGGGACTGACCCTTGGAGGGTTGGAGGGTTAAACACACACCATTTAAAGCTTTGTTTCTAGGTGTCTCAGAACAATATACAGTTGTCTCAACAAATTCATTGCATTCTTAAAGGTGATGCAAAACTAGAAACTGCAAATAATGCAAAATTAACTCCACATGAAGATGTTTCAGATTGTCTTGGATAAGAGGGATATTTGTGATTGGTAAAGCCATCGAGCTAGCTGCTCTTCAGTAAAAAAAACTGGATAATCAAAGTCCGCAAAAATGGCACCAGTAAACTTATAAGGATGACTGTGTAGTTCTGTATGTTTGCAGAATTTGCTTTCAGAATTGGTAGCACAAGATCATCAGTAGTGTTAAATATTTTAATCAAGTTTACACTGTCGAAAATATAACTAAAATTGGTACTGGCCACATTTACATTCGTTGATCATTGAGGGTTACTTTTTTCCCTCTTCCATGCATGAGAAAATAAACTTGGTAATTTTTTAATAGAATCTCTTATGGTAGAAAGACACTTGATGCAGAGCAACCCATTATTATAGATGCTGGTAAAGCTATACTAAGTCTTCACAACGTGAGTCTTTACCCAGGCAAAAAGCATGCATTTTGTTTAAATTATAATTACCAAGTAAAAAAAATATTGATCAGTGCATTTTGAGAGATCTGGAAACCTTTATTGATTACTTAATGCATCCTGTATATTTCAGGTTTGAGCGTGTTCTTGGTAGCTGTGCTGACATCTTGAAGCGGAACATTGAGCAGTACAATTCCTTTATTGCATTAACAGTTTAAACTGTATTTCAGCTGCTATGTAGCCCATGTTTATGCATCCATTTAGTTTGTTGTGCAACTTCATAGGCTCAAATGTAAGCAACTGTGTATTCTCTTGTTTAGGTGCTGAAGTGTGCTATCTTGTAGGACCTAAACATCAATACAGGAACTTTGTTAAAAAGTGTGAACAGTTACGTAGGAATTTAAGTAGTCTCTGTGTGTGTGCAGCTTGTAAACACCTAAAGTTAGTGAGAGGGTAGTGCCATCCACAACTGATGTTATAAACAATAACTGGTGGTGAAGGGGTTATCATCTATAGCAGTTGGTGTAAGGTTCTACCATGTCCCTCTTGTAAGAGAGTACATTATTACCTGGAACTGGTTAGCAAAATTGCACACTACTTATGAGGGTAAGAGTAGTAGTATCCTGTTGTAGTGGTCATGGTTCTAGGGACCATTTTGATATTTAGAAAGCCTGATATGTCGAGCTACTTAATATTCAGATGTTGCATGTTTAGTGCAGGATGATGGCGAGCATAATGTAGAGGTGAAGTGATGCACTTATTGGGTTAATTAGCTTGAAACAGATGAGAGCAAGCCTTAAACTAAGTAAAATATCTTTTAGCAGACCATCATTAATCTTTGAGATTAATGACATTCCTATGAAAAGGTTGAAGCTTGTATTATATTACAATGACACATTTCTACTTTGTCATAAGCAAATAATTTTTTTACCAGATGTTAATTCATTGACTTTGTTACTTATAGTTAAATAAGATGTTTTAAAATTCTATTCCAAAAACAAATTCTTGGTCATATTGTATTGCAATGAAAAAATCAATGTAATGCAGTATTGTAATATCAAACTGTAATTTTGCTAAAGAAATTTAGTTACATTACTATCCTATATAAAGAATAATGGATTTGGCACCAAGTTAAATTGTGATCTAATTGTTTCACTCATGTATGCATAACCACAGTTAGGGATTTAAGGTGATCACACCATTAAAATACATGCTGGGAACAGTGTGAAAAAAGCACAGGAAAATGGTTATTAATGTTTTTTAAGAATTTATTTCCTCAACAGCACACAATTATTTTATTGAGTGGAAACAGTTTTGAATAACCTATAGAAAAATTTTGAATCTGTTTCTACTCTAGATGTTTAAAATAATAGTTTAGACTTGGCCCTCACAGTCAGTAGGGGTTATGTTCTGGTGTTTTGGTATGAGAATGTGTAGTGCAAATCTGCAAGTTGTGCACTTGGTATTAAAAGTTGAAACATTAGGCTTCATTTCCCCAACCTGCACATGATATTAACTTAATGTTGTATTGGAACCACATTCTGCACTAGTAACAAAAAGCTTTAATTCCATGAAGATTGTTCACATACCAATGAGATGCTTTTTTGCCTATTTCATTTGTTTAATTTTTCTTAATCTCGTGTACAGGATTTTGGACAAAAAATAAATGTTAATATTTTGGACAAAAAATAAATGTTTAATTAGAGGACTTCAGAATCTGCTTTGAATTCCTAGGATGACCTTTGCATTCATGGGGTGCATTGCTTGAGCCACAAACAAATAAGACATGGGTAGTGTATGAGGAATAAGGAGCACAAGCTAGAAGGGAATAAGCAGTGGTGTATGAGAATTCATCAAATTTACTAGTTCTTTAATAAAACTATCTGTTCCTTACCTTAATTGCACAGGATGGTGTAGGCATAAATCATAGCTGAGTAGTAGCCTAATGTTGGTTTAAAGTACCATTCATACAGCACCTCTGGACTTGATAATGACATAAGCAGCAGTATTTTTTATGCTCCCCACTTTATTAAATAGCTTCAATTGTTTAGTGTACAATATTTAGGCCTTTCATATTTTAAGAGGGAAATGGTTTTTCTTTTGCACAAAAAGAGAGGTAATATATTGGGAGGGAGAATAGCAGACTACACAACAGGACACATGATCACTTGGAGCATCTAGGAGTTCATCATATAGTAACTATTATATGATTAATTCCTTATATTGCTTTAAGTTTTATATAGCACTGCATTGTTGAATATTACTGAAAGGTCTGGGTATTATTTTAATCCATAATAATGGATATATGGCTGGTTTGTTGAAAAAAAAAGTGTGTTGCAAGGGGAAGGGAGTCACATGCTACCAAACTTGTATGTTAACACCCTGTGACATTGAGATCACACCCTAGGTCCTGCTGCTGGCACAAAGACCAATAATTGGTACTGCACCTATTGACACCATACTACAAATGCAGAAAATCTGTAAATTTACAATATTTACTTGATTGTGCTGCATCACCACAAATGCTTCAAAAATGAATATTTAACACATTGCTGTTTCACATAAATATACAGGATTGTACTATAAATAAGCTCTTGCAGCGAATATATTAATACATTGGTAGATGACGGAGTGGACATGCATTTGAAAAGGCATGGCCACCTTTAGACTCAAACCTAACATTAAATTATACAGAATACAGCTCGGAGTATTTAATGAAATATTTTCAGTAGTGAATGTTGAGGACTTAAAAACAGCCCTAAGACTGATATTAATGATATTCAGCTTTCACTGTAAAAGAGAATGAGAATATTAAAATGGATGGAAACAGAGATGTACAATAATTTAATAACAAAGACTGGACTCCTGTACACACACGTATAATAGGATATATCTAAAGTGCTTGTCTACCTCTGTTATTCTTACTGTATCCATGTGATGAAAAAAAATAATTTGATTGTTACTCATTACAATAAAATAAGATTAATTGCACATAATGGTTTTGTGGTAAGTGCCAAAACACAAGCCTGGTGGCAGTTATCCAAGGAGTTGAACCAAACAGGCAAGAAATTGTTACTTGTGAATTTGCAAGTTTGGGTAGTCTGAAACTTTGTGAATTGGTAAATCTGCACTTTGATACCCCCTTCGCTCCTCTCATTTGCAAAGGATGTGCACTTCATTTTTCTTCTCTTGTTTATTGTTCTTCTGTAAGTTTGCAAAAAGTATTAAAAAACATTGCCTTCTGCCTTTTGGTGCTGTATGAATCAATCAGGTTTAATGCTTTTGTGTGAAAATATACTGTAATAAATAATTGCAAAATATGTGCAGCTTTGGAGGAATAATTCATACTAGTTGTTAATAATAATCTCAGAGCCAAAGGAAATTTCGGTCTCTTAAAATTTCATTTACTTTGTTTGATTTGTTAGATTTTTCTTGCTGTGGAGGTATGTACATAATTTGAACTCTGGTATTTCCTGAGTAACTTCATATAACAACTTTAAATTTAAATTAACCATAATCTTGCTTATTTCCACAATTTTTTTAATTTCAAGTATAAACGGATTTAGTGTACTTGCTCGAGTAGTGTTAAGCCACTAAATTCAAATACAAACAAAACACTAAATTCTGGACACCATAAGCACTGCTTTGCTTTCATTAATACAAATAGACATGTATAGCAAAAGGAGACCTTTTATTATTATGACATTTCCACCTACCTGAGGCTTTGTTATTGGCTCGCAGCCAAACTAAGACTTCCAATAGGTAATCATGTGTACATGTGCAGTACTTGCATGTTTCAAAGAAACTAAAAAATATAGCACTCGGACTTTTCTCCTGCCAACAAAATTGAAGCTTCAGGTTCACTGTATTAGAGATATGTTTCGCCCATTGTTGCTGCACGTGTAGTTGCATATCTGTTTGACCATTTGTCCTGGGTAGCACAGCGACTCCATCTAGATGCTTCTTGCTGATATCAAATATTCCTAATTGGAATTTCCCCTTGTGATGCGCAGTAGGCTGTGACAACATGCTTTCTTTTACTTAAGATCCATGGCTACTCATTGCTGGGAGAGCTTTGTCTTTCTTGGAAACATTCTTAAGATTTTCTCTACTTTGGATTTTTGGAGCAGCTGGTCTACTGGAAGAATGCAAGGATATTCCACTGCATTTCTAAATACTTAGGATCTTGAATTCTATGAGAACCTGAAGTGCTCTAAATATCCCACTAGTTCACTAAAAGCATTACAGGAAGGTAGAAAAGCAGAGGCTATCTGTGGTGCCTTATTATTTCCCAGTGTAACTGGCAGTGTTGCTTGATCCCATTGGTGAGATAGTGAAATAAAGACCTCAGGAATTTAATGCATTCACTTTTTGGCTAAGAGTGCACATCTCAAGAATTAAGTTAGTCTGGGATATCAGATGCTGAAAAGGTTAGCGATGGGACAATACCAAAATGTTTGCTGATACTGATACTCAATTTTAGGCTGATACTGTAAAAAATTAGCCGACGCCCTCCGCTTCCAATATTTGACACGTCTCAGGAGAAGGTACAGAGCTTCATGGGCATCGAAATCAACTATTTTCTGCTCCATCCTCTTCAGGTCATTTAGTCTTTCCTTGAGGACTGTAATTGGCTTTGGTCCTAGAGGTGATTCCAGCAAGATGTTATCACTGGAGGTTTCTAGTATGATGAATTTAACTGCAACAGTAGTTAGCTTTTTACTAAAAATATCATATATGAACAGCTAAGGATGAGTCCCAGGGGCCCTCTTTATTTCACATCTTGGAGATCTACTACTAGGGAACTGTCATCCAGGAACCAAACAGTGAGTTTGCTAGTCATTTTTCTGACGAGTTCATTTAATGCTGTGCAGAAGAGAAGTAGTTTTTCATGTTGGATACACTGGCAAGGTGACTGACACTCAACAGCAACATTGAGATCTTCACTGTAGTTGGCTAAAACAAGAGGAGGAAAAGGCTGAGAAGTGCTCTCAAACATCAACCTAAAACATCTCTCTCTTAACTATAAGCCCTAGTTGTGAGAATTGCTGCTTACTGCCTTGTTAGATTCCCCCCAAAATTTGGGCATAACATTTTGCTAGTTTCTGATGGCTTCTTTGGCAATGAGATGGCATTAACAGCTATGGGCCTGATTCCCCCATACTGTTTTTTTTTTTTTTGGGGGGGGGGGGGATGCATAAGGATGCACAGAAGAAAGGCTTAATTTCCTCGTCTAGAAGTCAGCTAAACAATTGTTGATGTGTTCTCAACAAGGAGGATCTTCATAGCTATGCCAAGAGGTAGATAAACAGTCATGAATGTACTGCAGTTGCATTCAAGTGTAACACCCCTCTCGTTTATCCCTTTACCCTGCTAAACCTAATGGGTATGACAGTCACTTTAGGGGCCTCTGGATGATGTAAAATTGGTTCTGGAATGGGGTTGTTTTTAGTAATGTTGATGCTGACTGCTCTGGGTAGGTTCCTAACCCTGTTTGGATTAGCATCTCCAGAAGAAATTGTTTTTACTGGTAAATTCTGCCCCCCCCCCCTCCCCTTCCCCTCATCCTTTTTAAATTTTACCTTATAGTGGAAGAGGCAGGGGGCACTGACTATTTTTTTATTTTGTTGTTGATGTCTCAAGGAAGGGGAGGTAAAAGAGGCTTTGAGTTATGGGGCTTGAGCATCCAGCAGGCTTGTATGAGCCTATTCAATAAGCATGAATGGACAAAAGTGGTTTCTTAATAGTGTTGGAATGTGAGCAAGGTAACTTTAATGAAGGGATTCAGGGAAACCAGTTAGTCAGACTTGAGTCCTGGAGGTGGGAAAGGCAGTGCCTGCACTCTGAAGGAGGGGTGGGGATATTGCAGTCAGAGGCTAATCTGAATTGTGATGTCAGCACACTTCTGAAAGACAGTGAATGAATGAGAGTGAACACATTTTCTTTGGCCCACCTTGCTTTGGCGGGAGACTGTTGTCAATATTATGTATTAATTTCTATCTATGTGTGGGTGTTTGGGTGTGGGTGTGTTTGGGGGAGGTAATTGAAATTGAATCTTAAGTTTATAGATGCAAATCCAACTATTTGTAGCAGTTAATACCATTACCGAGTTTCAGTTAAAATAAAAATTTCTTTTCCAGTTAACATTTTTAAATCTTTTTGTTGCTGAGCTTTAGATATATTAATCTTGAAGAAATTTGCAATAATGACAAAATATGTGTACATATATTGTGCCTGACGTACAGTGGGATAAGCAGTGTGTAGCTTTTTATTTTCAGATATTCAAGGCACCTCATTTTGCAAGGGCAAGACTTGTTGAAATTCAAAAATTGTTAATCTAACAAGGTTAAGAAGTGTAACATTTATCATTTTTAATTATATATTCTCTTATAAAATGTTACTGTAATTTTAACATTAGTTACTTGCCTAACATTAAAACTGATAGTTGCTGCAAAACAGATATTGCAAGGTATTAAATATAAAGAATGATTATTGTTTGAGAAAATATTATTGTTAATTATTATAAAATATAATAAATTTTGTGCTATTGCTTTTTGAATCACTTAGAGGTAGTGTTGTAGAAAAGAAATATCACCCAATCCTGACTGTACCCTTCCTGCGTCCCCCTGCTGGGTAGGTGGACGCTTAGAGTAGCAGCCGCTTGTGTCCTCAATCTGTGTATAGGAGAGAGAGGGGTATAAGGGAAGAATCATTGCCAGTGGTTTTATTATTAATGCTGTAATTTTGAATGATCTTGAAGTTTTGCTATATTGTGAATCATTTTGAACTTGTAGTCTTATGTCAGTATATATAATTTGGAAAATAATCTTAGTATACTAAGTAATCATTTAAAGGAAGTGTTGATTAATTATCAGATTAAGAACAAAATGTTCAGGAAATGGTAGAATAATTCTTTCAGTAATTGTAAATAAATGTAATTCAATATCATTATGAAATAGAGTGTATGGAGGTAATTTAGATATATAACAGTATACTCCTTTACATGTTATGATGTGTTTGCTGAAAATGTTTTATTTAGCATCTATTCAAAGGCCTTACAATTTTAAATGAACCTTCCTAATATATGTAATACATAATACATACATACATACATATACAGATTAAAATTTAATATATATAATATATAATATATTTAATATATTATATTGATATATTAAAATATATTATATATTTTTAGCATCTATTATAAATTATAAATTATTATAATGAATTCTTATATATATTAATATATATATACTATATATACATATAAATTATAATTATTATATATATATATATATATATATATATTATATATATATATATATATATATATATATATATATATATATATATATATATTATATATATATAATATATATATATATATATAAATATATAATATATATATATATATATATATATATTAATTTTTTTTTTTTTCAACAAGTTGGCCGTCTCCCACCGAGGCAGGGTGACCCAAAAAGAAAGAAAATCCCTAAAAAGAAAATACTTTTCATCATCATTCAACACTTTCACCTCACTCACACAATCATTGTTTTTTGCAGAGGTGCTCAGAACACAACAGTTTAGAAGCATATATGTATAAAGATACACAACATATCCCTCCAAACTGCTAATATCCCGAACCCCTCCTTTAGAGTTCAGGCATTGTACTTCCCATTTCCATATTATATATATATATATATAACAGAATTCTTCCTCCGTAAGCAATGCATGTTGTAAGAGGCGACTAAAATGCCACGAGCAAGGGGCTAGTAACCCCTTCTCCTGTATATATTACTAAATGTAAAAGGAGAAACTTTCATTTTTCCTTTTGGGCCACCGTGCCTTGGTGGGATACGGCCGGTGTGTTGAAAGAAAGAAAGAATATTTATTTATATATATTATGTATGTATGATCTGTTTTTATAATGTTACTTGTTGTAATTGTCTTATACATTAGCCTGAATTCAGAGCTGGTTAATATAGTTCTTATTCAGGGTATATCGTTCACAAAGATGTGAGTTTTCATTTGCATTCCTAGATGTATCTTTAATTGCTATTCAAAATTGCCTTACTTAACTATCTAATTGACAAGAAGCAATTTGCATAAATGCTGGCACGCACACTTCCCCTCCTCCCCCTTCTCCTTTTTAGAAGCATCATTTACAGGTTGCCCTTCCTCCCAATTGCTCCTGGCGAGCAGTAGAGGGCTTCTGCAGTCAGTATGTGCACAATCTTTTTATGGCAAGACCTGCTGAACTGTAATTTCCTTTTTGAGTGTGTGCACATATATTAATGCTAAACTAATTCTTTCATGCATTTTAAAATGAGTTAAGTACTGATACTGTTTAGTTACTATGTGCCATCAAAAACTTGAAAGGTCAAATTAATAGAGGAGGCTATTGGAAGAAATTGTCTTCACAAAACTTAATCCTGTAATAGTATTCTTAGCTTGTAATACTGTGTAACACTTGAGTTAATTTTAAATAATTAGTTCATGTAATATTAGAATTTATCTTATGCTTTGCTGTAAATTATTGAAAATATATAATGTTGTTTTGTATACCATTGTTATTTGAAACTTTGTACTTCGTAATACAAAATAATAATGGAATATGGTAGTTTTTCTTAATTATAGTGTGATAATGGTTAACGTTAAAGTA